AAACCGTGATCTTCCCACGAATAGTCCTGAAAGCACAAAATCATAAACAAAGATCATGATATAACCAGTGCTGTTATTGTTAACTAAAATGATTAAAAATAGTTTTCAGTAATTGAAATAAGGCTGAAATAAAATATAAATATTACATGGAAAAACAAAAATTAGAAATGTTGCCTTGGAAACTAATTTAAATAAATACATTTAAAGTTGAAGTAGTAAAAGGTCTAAGTCTAAAACAAAAAATAGCAATATTTAGCTAAACTGAACTAAAGTGAATATATATATACTGTATAAATAGAGCTGATGACCCTGATGACTCTGTGGCTGGCCCATTGACACCGGCGGAGGTGCGACATGCAGAAATGCCTTGCAGTTCTTAAGGACCTGTGCTTCTAATTAATTAATTACTACAACAGTACATGAATAATACTAAAATAACACTGGATGTAATAACACGGTTTATAATACATATTATATACTTCAGCAAAAATAATGCCTTCTGTTCATAACTGTTCTTTAACACTGTGTGAGAATATTTAAGAGTATTGAACCTGAGCTCTCATGGTTGGGGGGGCCTGCATTCCTCTAGGACTAAAATCCTGGTAAGTAAAATCTGCATCCACAACAAACCGCGAAAAACAATCAGGAAGGACACACCGCAGAACTGTATAGGAAAAAAAGATGACAAAGGTCAGGCAGTGAAGAAACAGGAAGCAAAAAAAAGATGTGAAACATCCATTATAAGGCATTTAAAATTGCAAAATACATTCAATATTATAAAATTTGCCCAGGAAGGCCCAAAACTTGACTTTGTGGCAGCTAAAACAAATTTTATTATATTTAATGTGATTTACGGGATGTACTGTAATTCATCAACTTCTCATGTGAATGAGCATGTTCAAAAGCTACAACAGAACGCTATTTTGTCCCAGGAGAAACCCTGCCTTTGGGTGTATTGAATTATGTATATGTGTGTTCATACCATCAGCAGGTTCCAGCAAACTCTCAGTCCTTTCTCTTTCAAAGCGAGTAACCA